AGGGGTCTAGGGCCAGATCGTCTGGCCATAGCCTTATTTGGGAATGTCCAGGGACTGGTCAGTAAGATCTTAAGAAAGGGAGAGGATATGACTCAAGATGATTGTGATGCAAAGAATGTAACTTTTTCCAAGAAATGTATGTGTAGGCGGCTAAGAGTATAAAAGCCCATGTAACCAAGTAGTCAAGTCAGTAGAGGAGGGAGTATCAGAGAGAGTATCGGAGAAAGAGAGAATACAGTCACGTCACTATGTAGCTCTGGCTCCTGTGTCATTTGTTCCGGGTACGTACATCTACAACATCGGCGGCCATCTTACGAACTTGTAAGGGTCACCCATCGAGACCGAGGTCACTACGCTACCATGTCTTCGTCTTTGACCTTGACATACCCTTACAAATGGTGGCAGCGGTGGGATGGCTGCGTACGTCACCCAGGACAGAGGACCGGGAGCCAAGTTCAATGTCAACGCTACAGAAGACCGGAGAGACTACCAACGATACCACTGGCAGACGAGCAGACAGAAGAGCAACGGGTTAGTGCATGTCGGCTGACAATGGAGGTAGAACTACATACGTTGTTGTCTGACCGCTTAAATGTTATATTGTGTTAGTGTAGATGAGAGGCTTCGTTTGGTAGGACTGTCGTAGGTCTACGGGTGGTGAAAATGTGAAATTGTAGTTCATTTTGGTAGGGATAGGTTTGTACTGTTGTAAAAGCTCTAGGATCGAAGAATTGATTTCAGAATCTGTTTGGACGATTACTTGTTATCCGAATTCAGCTATCCAGGATTATGTCGAAAAATGTTGGGCAAGGCGTGCCTTGTAGCCTGGTGTGTTTGGCTGTTGCCATGGTGAAATTCTATTCTTCAAGTTATCTCGACCAGGAGGAGAAAGCACAGTGAATCAGGAGAAAGTTGGACCTTCAACATTGACAAATGTACTAAAATTTTAAGTTAGTGGTTGTTACTTGGCAGGGTGCTGCGAATTGGTGTAGCAAAGATAAGTTGTGATGTCGGTTAGCATAGAAAGTGACCTGTATTGTCGTTGTATACAGTCCTTGAATTTTTGGTTTTATTGTGTAATGAGTAATACTCAGGAAGAAATGAGTGGAGTTTTCGGGATAAGAAGTGAAAAGTTATCGACGCGTGAGATCGCGGAGGTGCAGATTTTAAGTAGTAGGAATATAGGACGACAAAGCTGAGACGTTGAGTGTATTGTTCGATTCATGTTTTTGTTAACCAGAAAGAAGCTAGGTACTAGTAGATTGGTTGTGATCACCAGGATGTCACATGCATAGTTCTGACGGGCTCTTCGTTTCCTTGGAAACCCAAACCTCAGGGACTGAATGATAATTCAGATGGGGCGAGGATGCTTTGTCAGAGGGCTTGTTGACATCTTTGTTTAGTGGCACGTGTAACTTTGTCTGATTTAAGAAGGGCAGACTAATTGATCCGTTCTAACAAGTACTAAGTGACAGCTCTTTGGAGGAAGATGATTTGATGAATTGATGCTAAGGCATTGGTAAGTTTAATTCACGTTCAGAGAATTGAGAAGAAGAGGTTCAAGAATATAGAGTTAAGAATTAAGGATTTTGAGGAATAAGGAGTTTGATGATTCTCCGGCGGTCAGACTGTGGCGTTGTGTTCTTTCCTACGTTGTATGCGACTTATCGTGAGGATGGCAGGATTTCACGGCTCTTTGGGACCCCAACCGTGTCACGTGCGTCTCCAGGACACCGGCTTGCCGATCAACCCCCACAGGGACTTCTACAAGCGCCAAGTGCTACACCGGAGGTACATCCGAAAGGGCCCCGGGTAACACGCTACCGGAAGGATCAATGCAAGTGCGGATCCTGCGTGTCGTATACCGAAAAGGCGTGGGACTGGTTACCAGCGCAGACGAGTCTAGGAGACCGAGGATGAACCAGGGACTACGAAGAGAAGTTGATTATGGGATGAACTGAATTGAACTTATGATGTCCATAGAACCAATGTGAAATTGTGATACATGCATCATTGAGTACTGTTACAATTGATATGGGAAGGAACGATTGTATAGTCTATTGTTAAGCGTCGCTTTTATATATATATATATATTAACCGTTCATAACACGTAACTGTTCCGACTTTCTGTGTTATAATATTTTTGTATGTTCTCTACTTGTGCACTGATGTTAAACGCATTTGTAATTACGTCGCCAGGGACGGCTCCATTTTGAAAGGGGAGCATGTAATAAGGTGCTCTAACCTTGCAGGATATATTTTATTATTGGTAATAAGAGTGACAGTGTATTTCCTTGGACATCCGGAGACATTCCTTGTACAGTCACTTTCTCCTGTCCTTTACTAGGAAACAGTGGGCGACCTTTGAATGACACTTGCTAATGGCTTATCTTCCCAGGGGTCTAGGGCCAGATCGTCTGGCCATAGCCTTATTTGGGAATGTCCAGGGACTGGTCAGTAAGATCTTAAGAAAGGGAGAGGATATGACTCAAGATGATTGTGATGCAAAGAATGTAACTTTTTCCAAGAAATGTATG